TGTCCATTATTCCAGAAGCAAGCATTGCAGAGCCAAGATCAATAAAAGATGCTTGGAATGGTGAATATGCAGAGATATGGAGAGAAGCAACTGACTCAGAGTATGAATCATTGCTCAAGAATGAAACATGGACACTTGTTCCATAGCCTAAGAATAGAAATATTGTAGGCTCAAAATGGGTGTTTAAAGTGAAACACAGAGCTGATGGTATTGTAGACAGATTCAAAGCCAGACTAGTGGCACAGGGATATTCCCAACAACAAGGTGTAGATTATAATGAAGTTTTTGCACCAGTTACAAGAGCAAATTCCATTAGAGTAATTCTTTCCATTGCTAATGCCATGAGCATGGAAATCCATCAAATGGATTTGAAAACAGCCTTTTTGAATGGCAGTTTAGATGAAGAAATCTACATGAAGCAGCCAAAAGGTTATGTAGATACAAAGAATCCAGATTATGTTTGCAAATTGCAAAAGAGTCTGTATGGTTTAAAGCAGGCTGCAAGATGCTGGAATAGTGTGATTGACCAGTATTTTAAAGACTCTGGTTATGTTCAAAATAAAGCAGATCCATGTGTGTATGTGAAAAACATACACATTACATTACTAGAAATAACAAGAAGAACATCATGATTATTGCTATACATGTGGATGACCTTATTTTAGCTTGCAATGATGCACAAATGATGGAAGCTGAGAAGGCAGACTTACAAAGAAAGTTTGAGATGAAAGACTAGGGAGAGGCACATCATATTCTCGGCATGAGTATCTCAAGAAACAAGGAAGAGCGTACACTGACCATCTCACAAAAGATGTACTTAGAGAATGTTCTGAAGCATTTTAACATGCAGGACTGTAAGCCAGTAGCAACACCCATTGATCCTAATCAAAGTCTTATCAAGCTGAAGGATGATGAGAAATCCGTTAATTTGCAAGATTACCAAGCAGTAATTGGATGTCTCACATATGCCATGACGATTTCAAGACCAGATTTAGCTACTTCAGTAGGGATTTTAAGCAAATTCATGTCAAAACCGGGTCAGAATCATTGGAAAGCTGTAAAGCGTGTACTGAGGTACATCAAAGGATCTCTAAACGTAGGATTGAAGTTTGATGCATCATGTCAGATATCTGTTGATGTAATCGGTTTTACGGATGCTGATTGGGCAGGAGATGTTGTTGAAAGGAAATCTACTTCAGGATATGTTTTTCAAATTTGCGGTGGTACAGTCAGTTGGCGCAGTAAACGTCAGGAAATTGTTGCACTATTGTCTACCGAAGCAGAATACGTAGCTCTTTCTTTTGCTGCACAGGAGCTCATGTGGCTGAGATCATTCCTCAAGGATTTGGGATATGAGCAACAAACTAATATACTGAATGAGGACAATCAGGTTGCCTGGGAAGAAACTGAAATGTCTGAGATCAGATAATGGTGGTGAATACATCTCTAAAGAATTTGACAACTTTTGCAAGCAACATGGAATAATTCAAGAGCCAACTACTCCAAGAACACCCCAACAAAATGGTGTAGCAGAACGCATGAACAGGACATTGTTAGGAAGTGCAAGATCAATGTTATATCATGCGAAAATGCCACTACGATTTTGGGCAGAGGCCATCAATACTGCAGCATATATAAGAAACCGTTGTCCTACAACTGCACTAAAAGGGTGTACACCATATGAAGTTTGGTTCAAGAGAAAGCCTAATATTTCCAATTTGAAAGTATTTGGCTGTAATGCTTACGTTCATATTCCTAAAGAGAAAAGGCAAAAATTGGATGCAAAGTCCACCAAGTGTATTTTCATTGGATATGCGGATTCACGAAAAGGATACCGGACGAAAAGGAAATCTCACAGCAAATGCTTTTCTGTCCATTATTCCAGAAGCAAGCATTGCAGAGCCAAGATCAATAAAAGATGCTTGGAATGGTGAATATGCAGAGAAATGGAGAGAAGCAACTGACTCAGAGTATGAATCATTGCTCAAGAATGAAACATGTACACTTGTTCCATTGCCTAAGAATAGAAATATTGTAGGCTCAAAATGGGTGTTTAAAGTGAAACACAGAGCTGATGGTACTGTAGACAGATTCAAAGCCAGACTAGTGGCACAGGGATATTCCCAACAACAAGGTGTAGATTATAATGAAGTTTTTGCACCAGTTACAAGAGCAAATTCCATTAGAGTAATTCTTTCCATTGCTAATGCCATGAGCATGGAAATCCATCAAATGGATTTGAAAACAGCCTTTTTGAATGGCAGTTTAGATGAAGAAATCTACATGAAGCAGCCAAAAGGTTATGTAGATACAAAGAATCCAGATTATGTTTGCAAATTGCAAAAGAGTCTGTATGGTTTAAAGCAGGCTGCAAGATGCTGGAATAGTGTGATTGACCAGTATTTTAAAGACTCTGGTTATGTTCAAAATAAAGCAGATCCATGTGTGTATGTGAAAAACATACACATTACATTACTAGAAATAACAAGAAGAACATCATGATTATTGCTATACATGTGGATGACCTTATTTTAGCTTGCAATGATGCACAAATGATGGAAGCTGAGAAGGCAGACTTACAAAGAAAGTTTGAGATGAAAGACTAGGGAGAGGCACATCATATTCTCGGCATGAGTATCTCAAGAAACAAGGAAGAGCGTACACTGACCATCTCACAAAAGATGTACTTAGAGAATGTTCTGAAGCATTTTAACATGCAGGACTGTAAGCCAGTAGCAACACCCATTGATCCTAATCAAAGTCTTATCAAGCTGAAGGATGATGAGAAATCCGTTAATTTGCAAGATTACCAAGCAGTAATTGGATGTCTCACATATGCCATGACGAATTCAAGACCAGATTTAGCTACTTCAGTAGGGATTTTAAGCAAATTCATGTCAAAACCGGGTCAGAATCATTGGAAAGCTGTAAAGCGTGTACTGAGGTACATCAAAGGATCTCTAAACGTAGGATTGAAGTTTGATGCATCATGTCAGATATCTGTTGATGTAATCGGTTTTACGGATGCTGATTGGGCAGGAGATGTTGTTGAAAGGAAATCTACCTCAGGATATGTTTTTCAAATTTGCGGTGGTACAGTCAGTTGGCGCAGTAAACGTCAGGAAATTGTTGCACTATCGTCTACCGAAGCAGAATACGTAGCTCTTTCTTTTGCTGCACAGGAGCTCATGTGGCTGAGATCATTCCTCAAGGATTTGGGATATGAGCAACAAACTAATATACTGAATGAGGACAATCAGGTTGCCATTGCTCTTTCAAAGAATCCTGACAACCACTCCCGGACAAGCATATTGACGTTGATATCATCAGAGACCTTGTTGAAAAGAAAAGAGTGGAAGTAAATTATTGTCCTACAAACAATAATTTAGCTGATCTTATGACAAAAGGACTTCCTCGTCCAAGATTTGAAGAACTTTGCAAGAAACTTGGAATTATCAAGGTTTGATTAACATTATTGTATGGTTCTATTATTATTATCTTTTATAACTATTATTATCATTGTTCTGTTCAGAAGACTGAGAAAAGACTCAACGAGTGGGATTGTTAGAAATGACGTTTCATCTTTACATGAAGTACTTAACCTATTAGATTTACCTCGTGCTTTGTAAATGCAATATGGCTGATTTCGTTTCATTGTTTAATATGTTGTGTATCATTTTCGCATATCTACAACAATCTTCCGCGTAACTCTAACACTTTCCACAAGATAACGTTTCAGGCGAAGATAAAAACTAAAATTGTTCACGTCATGTTGTTAGTCTCAAAAAGTATCTAAGTCACCGTAATTATATCTAGTGCAGAGCGAAACGCAATTTTCTATTTGAGAGGGGGCTTTTTGTGAGTGGATTTTCCAAATTCGCCATCAGCACATCTGCCAAAAGAGAAAGCGAGAGATAGCAAGAGTGACGTAAATCCTGTAGGGACAACTTTCCTGTCCATTGCAGAGAGATGTCTGTTTTTGAAGGTTACTCGCACATGTTTTTGAGAGAAGGAAACAATTTAGAAATAGAACTATTTGTGTGCTATTATTGGGTAGTGTTCTTGAACTTATGTTTCTCTATAGATTTTAGAAGTGTCTACAAAGAGCGTCTGCCATGGTTGTGGTGGTTGTTTTGAAATGGCTGCACCATATTTGTTTAGTGTTTACTTCAATTTTAGTGTCCATGGCATTCTAGATAAATTTACCCTTAGCCTCCTGTTAAAGTTGCCTTACCAACAACCATCAGCCAGGTTAAGCAATATGATTCATTCCTGATATAGTTATCTTTTTCAACATGTGTTTGCTGCAGCAACAACATGTGCTTGTTGCATGTGTTTCAACAAGAAATTAGGCGTTTGCTGCAGAAAGAGATGGAGCCCGATATCATAGAATTTCATTTTGATGCATAAGCATGCTGTAAGAGAGTTTTCAAGAATTTCCCGAGATTTCAGTTGCGAAATCTAAGTATAATGTTGCTTACAGTAATTGCTAGCCAGTAGAAAGAGAGTCAAAATCTGATGAAAAGAAGTATGCACTTGCTCAGGGTGTTCTTCATTTCGATTTGAATGGAAGAAATCGATCATTCTTACCTCTGATTACAGTAGGTTCCCGCATATAAGAAACCACTTTTTAAATTGAGGCCTCAGAAAATTTCTTATTTTAAGATACCTTTTTATAATCAGGGTAAAAGTTTCTTATATATAGGTTACACATTTTTTAAATAAGCAACTAAGCTTTAAATGTTGGGTTGCATTACAAAATTTAGGGGATTATTTCTTGGCATACAGGAATAAAGTATGACGGATCTGAAAAAAGAAACATTTCGATTTCAGACCTTAAATTGTTTCTTATAAAAGGAGCCCTTTGGAAAGAATTTGAGGCTGGTTTCTTATACAAGGGGGTTTCTTTTTTGCGGGAACCTACTGTAGTTCTACTAAAGTCAACTTGCAACATAAAGAGGGTCTTTTGAAAACCGTAATTTTTTGTTTTCTGATTCCAGGAGCAATTATTGCGATTATCCAGGCCTCAGATTTGGATAATGACGTCATCTCGTATTCCCTGGGAGATGATGCCCGTGGTTTGTTCAGGATCAATAAAGACACAGGTGAACTTACTTTGAACAAAGTGCTGGACAGAGATGTGAGTAATCATGCTTTGTCGTACGAAAAACATGGATTTCCTTTTCTTTGCTTGTTATAAACAATGAAGATTATGTTGCAATTATTGTTATGCTTATGATTTGCTTTAAGTTTATTGAAGATTAGTGAAATAATATAATCTTTGCTTGGGAAATTCTGAACATATGGTACTCGGTCATCTTACAATAATGATTTGTTTTGAACACATTTTTATTATACTATTCTAATGCAAACACATTTTTATTATTCCATTTTGATGAAATATAAAACTACGACTTTAGAATGAAAACTGATAGAGTTTTATTGTAAGTCTAGGGTTAGTGCCTGTTAGTGGCCAGATTTGATTTACAATCTTAGAAATTATTCAAGCATCGGTAACTAGAGGAGACAAAGTGCAATTCCTTCCACTAAATGCTGTTCACAAAAATGCTGATTAATGTTTATGTGTGAGCTTTGTACATAAAAAATGAGTCACGTCTGTGAAAGACGACTTTTATATAAACCTTAAAAACTGTGTTGATGTTAGTAAGCTGACTGTTCTATACAGCATTCTATGCCTGCCAAAAATACTTAGATCACCCAACAGTCGGAACTTGGTTTTGTATTTGATAATCCTATTTCTCGAGTACTGCTACTTTATCCACGAATCCTACAGAACAGTGTTAAAAGGCGAGTCAAATACGATAAAATCACACAAAAACCTCTAAACTCCTTTCTAAATCTGATAATAAACCAGTTTTTTGGACTGGCTGGCTGAATTCGCCTTTAAAACTGACGTCAGCATACCAAGACCTTTGGCAATGACTGTAGGTCAAGATATTTAAGTTTGCAATTTTTAAAGACTTTATTGAAAAATGTTTGACTTGATTGAATTTACTATCTCTTTTCAGGACATCATCACCTTCACTATATATGCAGCAGACAATGTGGAACCAGATAAAAAGGTACTTTTATCCACTTGATTGTTAAAAACTCATTATCCACCCAGTAAGGCTCATTTGTCAGTAATTTGGAGCCATGTGGAGAAAGAAGGAATAGTAGGATCTGAAGACCATGCTGAATTTTATTTTTATCCAAATTCAAGTGTTTTGGTGATTTATAACATGACCTGTTGATGTCTTATGTATGTCACAGGAATCACAATCTAGTATTGATCTCTTAATTGCTAAAATATACACTTTTTTGGGTTGATCATTTGAATGATTCAATGATTAAGAAATCAGTAAAATCATTATTTAATCATTTGACTATTTCAGACAAGCATTCGTGTAAGTGTACACGTCAAGGATGAAAACGACAATCCTCCAATTTTCACTGGAACACCTTACGTAGGCAAAGTCAACGAGGTAAACTTTTAGCTCAAACTTTAATGCTTAAAGATATCTGAATTCATTCAGAAAGATTTCCAGACATAAATTCTAGGTAATGGTAGTCATTTTATTCTAAATTTTGCTTGTCATGATTTCATTGGCATTGTTTCTCTCTTTTGTTTATTAGACTTTGGAAATCGACTCATTTATATTCAGAGTAACTGCTTCAGATGCTGATCAAATGCAAGAATTGATCTATGATATTGTCGATGGCAATATTGTGAGTAAAAACATAGCAGTTGTTGCTAATCTGCTGTTTGTTACCTATTCCGTTGTTTGTTATCTTGATTAAATTGTACAGAAATGCGACTAGATTCGTTGATCTCTGATATGTGGAAATCACGAACTCCAGAGTCTAAGGCTCCAGTCCCTGCCTTGACGAAACGTTAGAGTGGAGAGATTAATCTTAAGAAGACACTAATCTAAATGCTCCGAAAACTGTGATGATATAAGAAACAAGTTTATGCCTGAAGCATAATTGCCAGATGAGCATATATAGAAATGCACTTCATTGTTTACTTCAGATCATCTTTAAAGTAAGTTTTGGCTGTAATAGTCAGCCGTGAAAATACAATTTCAAGATTTGGTTATAGAGACATTCTTTTAGATAATGTTTCTAGGGACAGTGTGAAATCATTTAATGGACAGGGTTAGAATTGTTCTGTGTACAGTGTTGAAATTGCTTTAGGAAAGTTTTGAAGCTGGCAAAAAGTCTAATTTGAGATTTTTTGTAAATAACGCGGGCGCTGTTTTGTTTATCAAGCACTAGAGTATGAAACACCAATACAAGCCCATTTAGCGTTGTTATTGATTGATGTAACTAGCTTTTTATGGCACTATGAGAAGCAAGGTCGGTGTCTTCAATAAAACGGCCTAAACGCTGTGATTATCATAAGATTGTTTAGCACCCATTTGAATACAGTCAATGACTATTGACCAGTAGCTTCCTTAAGACGCCGCTGCCTTGAATTTCAACCAATCAGCAGCAGGTACCGTCCTGCAATTGACCAATAAGATTTTAATCCTAATTATCGGGAAAGCATTCGTCTGAAATATCTTTTTAATGGCGGATTGATCATTTTGAGACGTAGATCTTAGCGTTTATATTAGGATTCCTGCAGTTTTAATGGTTATTCTATTTGCAAGCATCTTTAAGGCTGGAATAACAATATGACCGGTTTTGGAGCATAATTTTTCCGTAGCTTTATTCGTTTTTGGAACTTTAAAACCCTTGTCAGAGATTTGATTAATTTTTTTATGTTTCTAACTATAAACAGTTTCTGTCGTTTACGAATTTATTCAACAGTTGGAAACTTTAGTAAAAAATTGCTTTTCAATGATGCATCGCATTTAATTTGATAAATTAACATCGAATAAAGATCCCAAGAACAACCAATAAAATGATTTTTTGTTAACAACCAAGGATATTCTTGGTTTTTATCGAATGGAGTTTCAATAACAGCAAATTTTAATCAACATATTATTTCCTATGCATTTGTGACAGTAGCTTTTTTGTACTGGAAAGTGAACAGTGAAAACAGCAATTTTTTTGCAAAATTTTGACCTTTATTCAGAATCATTTGGTTTTTAATAAAGCTTTGATGCGGATGACAGTGTTTTACTGTTTAATCGTAAAGTGATCTTTAATTTACATCCCAAATATTTAAGCAATATTTATTTTACGTTTAAAATGTTTATTTTATGAGTTTGATTTAGAGCATAACATTTTATAAAGTATTCACGAAGAAGGAAGAATATGTCAAATTATAAGTGATTAATTATTTGAAGCCACAATCATTTCAAAATACTTTTTTGTTTTAGGGGAATGTTTTTAAGATTGACAGCTATGCTGGAAGAATAACTACACGAAACAAACTTGATTACGAAAAAGTACAGCAGTATATTCTTAATGTTTCTGTACAGGTACGTTAGTGTGTTTCAAAACTAACATTATTTTATAAAAAATATGCTTTATCTTGTTTGCTTCGAATTTCGAATAGCTATCATAATTTTCATTTTATGGACGTTAATTTAGCATATTCATCTCTTATATGCAATTTGATGTTTTTCCTCACTTTACTCAACCAATTTTTGTTATGTTCTCTGGATCTTAAATATAAAATTGACATAAACAACTATATTTAATTAAAAATATAAACTGGATATTTTATTTCTGAATTTCTTGATAATTTAATCAAGATGTTCTTTAAATACAGGGGAAGTTCGGGAGAGGAGCCCTCAAAAGACATCATTAAGAAAATAACTCATCTTGAAGATTGTGAATTTTCCAGAGTCATAATACTTTACCTTTTTGCTTGTTGCACGGGTAATGCTCATATTTTTCTTTTGTGCGATAACTACCATTAAGGGGCATTAACCAAGACGTGCACTAGTGTAAAA